TAGTGGATTTAAGGATCACAGCAAAAGTTGAAGGAGAAAAGATTCATGGACTTGGATGATTTACTCATGTGCATGCAAAGCTCTCTCTCGCAGTCTGAGTCTTGAGGCTGTAAATGCCAAACATTGAGTCACCATGCCGCCTGGTCCGGCTCTTTCCAGAACGCATCAGTTTTCCCCGGGTGCCTGCGCTTGGGCCTGATGTCCACTGGATCTTTGCTTTGTATATACGCGGCGATGTTAACTGCAGGAAAACCACATCTGGAGTGTGGTCTGGATGTGCGTACAGCACTTTGGATGTAGGCCAGCCAACACATTGTCTATGTGGGCTGGTGACACCACCACAAACGATTAAAAGAATGACGTTCGCGCTGCACCACTGCACTCCCGTTGCATTGGTTCATTCTCTGCAAGCTCCCACTGCACTGTGGATGGATGTGATTTGACCATTTTGACTTTTTGCAAACAATTTTGGTAGCTGAAGACAAACATCGCATGGATGGACATCTGATCAATCTGTTTGGTATCAGGTTTAGATCAAGGGAATATCCAATAATCTTGGCATGCCACTTATGCTGGAACCACCCAACTCGGCTGGCCGACTTCACTGTTTATTGTACGATACCAATCTTAGAGCTGATCCAATACAGCATCCAGCAGCAAGATGTCATCACTTACACAGTGAACAAAGGTGCATTGTACCAATAGAAGACCATGTGTATACTTTTAAACAATAATGTCCCCTCCTGCTGCGATAAATACACAAACATTTGCACAATCAGTATCAGTATACTAGTTGTGTGAGACCATTGCAGGCAGCAAAATCCCTTCACCCGGGAGGCCGCAAGTAGGAGTGATTTGTTTCTGTGGAGGGAACCGATGTGGAATTTGTACCATGTGACATTGTGTGAATAGGGTTCGAGTGGGTTGAAAAGAGAGATTTGGAGCCACAGTCATGGCCAATTTCCATATGATTGAATGAAGTTCTATGAACATGTTGGAAATTGAAATCATCTTGTCTCTGTAAAAACGCCAGCAGCTCAGGTAATAATTTGCCATTTTCCCAGCATCTGGATAATGTAAATATATATATATTTTTGATGAAGTCACCTTGGGTTTTCTAGAATGTCAATAGTTAGTGAAATCACCTCCCCATTTCTGAGTAATGGCAACCTACATGCAGATAAATAGTGCATTGATTGCTTGTGTAAACGGAGCATTTATTATTGCACTCCCTCAAAATCCTTTCAATTTTCCTGTCAAATTTCCTTCAAAAAATCAGTTGACATGACTGATGCGATTGTTGTCGATACTCAGGCACATCCTGCTGTACTTTATTTGAATTGGCTTTATGGAACTTAACTGGGGTTGCATGCTGGTGTTGTGTTGTAGAGCACATGTGTAATTAGTATGTCAGTTAGTAAATAAAACCTCTACTGCCTTGTCATTCAAGCTTCTTCCTCAGTGAGATGACATGGTCTCTGGCGGTTTCCTGAAAAGTTGCCATAATAAACTTAACTTCCCTCCTGCAGAAGCCAAAAGTACTTGGAAGGTTTACGTGGATAATGTTGTGATGCTCCGCCAACCAAGTGTGCATGCAGCAGAGAGCCATCGGAGCAACAGTTTTTTGGAATCCTTGGTCGTCTCCAAGATAGAATCAAGGATGCCTTCATGTCGGGCAATTTGGAAGGAAAATCTGCCACCCTCTATTTGGATTACCAATCAGTGCTGTTGGCAAATGTAGCCCACTAAAGAAATTGTTCGGTCGACCGAAAAAGCGGATTAAGTGTGTCGACATGAAACAGGATTCATTGCACGAGAGCGGCGAGTTTGCTTCGTCTGATACAGAATGAAGCTAATTAATCACTCAATGTCAATGGAGGAAATATTCTTACACCTGAACCAGAAAAACAACCTTTACAAATTCTAGTTGCTCACTTGGAACTGAGATGGACTTAATGGCCGTATTGAGCCATCTTGAATGACGTTTTATTCAAAGTGGACTGAAATCAAAATAAATAGCGTACTCACAGAGTAAGATCTAAAATGATATTGTGTCTAGAGGCTGTTTCTGTTGCGTCTCTCTGCCCGACTACAGCGACTCCCACGCAGTCTTCGGAGGAAGAACATATTAATATAAGATAATTTTCACAGATATCCCAGAAAAGCCTCGCTAGTCTTGGAACAATATTGGTTTTATTTGTGTTTGTTAGCTAGCTTCTAACTGCACTCTAGTCCAGATAGATACTTGGACTTCTTTGTGTAAAGTTAAACAAACAGTCAAATTGCCAAAGCCATTAAATACCTTAATGCCAAACAGAAAGCAGCAATTAAGATAAATCATCTACAGAGTTAAACTAATTACTTTAAATGAACATGTTATGAACAAATTATTCACAACATTTAGTCAAGGGTGACATTGCGAAAGTTCTTCCATTAAACTGCACTGTATATTCTGTACCAGTTCCCCATAAAAAAGGGGGGATTATAATTACAATATTACAATAATCCAAGTGTTATAAAGAACTCCCAATTTATGTTGTAATTATTACGAGTAGGTTTTGGGTGACCCCCTCCTCATCCCTCACTAAAGTCTATGTTCAATTTCAGCCTCTTCAGTAATAACACCATTCGTCTTTGCCCTAAAACAGAGCACCAGACATGAGCTAAAATAGACATGAAGACAAGCAAATAAACGGAGAACAACATTACCCAAATCCGGAATATTTTGCTTCCCAAACAGAATAGTCACTTGGGGCTTTTGGTCTTAAATACAATGTGGAAAGTATGTTACCCTGCAGGATACAGCACTAAGTGTACTCTTGATGTTCGGCCCTAACCACAAATTCACTGTAATCATAATAGCTGAGAGCAGTTCAGATGTTCTTTGTTATTGACTGTGATCTCTTTTTCAAACTTATTCGATGCTTTTTTTGTCATGTGTCTGATGACCTCACTGCATGAAACAGATCGTTCACTCTGTGAAATCCTCATTCCAATATGTATCCTGGTAGGAATATTGTAGCAGTTATAAATTGCCATTGGCTCTGAATGAAACGGTTGCAACAGGAGTGCAAAGGGATCTCATGTGTGCCCTGAGGAAAAGCTATGCTAAACTAACTTAAAACTTTAATGAGCCCATATCAATCAATCAGCCAAACCTTATTTCAGACCCAAGGCCCAGATAGTAGAAAACATATAAACCTGGTGGGGTAAGTTGAGGTAACAGGGTCACAAATAGTCCTCAGGGGGCTTTTCAACGTGCACAGCACATGACACCCTTTGTCATTTTCAACCCTCCCAAAACAACCGGATAAACATTCACACTCACATTCACACCTCCGGCCTATTTAGACATTCCAATTAAAACAAGTGTTCGGACTGTGGGAGGAAGAGAACCCAACAGAGTACACATGCCAATATAGACAAACCATACGACAAACAGATGTTTGTCCAGGTGGGTGTTTTCCTATAATCAGCGGTGCATTGAGCTTTCAGGGCCATCATACAATCCATTTGCAATAATATCTTCTTGTGAATAACAAGAATAAGGAATTCAACTGATGTCTATCATTTAGGTTTATGTTTTATGTCAATCAGAACCTTGTATTTTCCGTCCAATCCAACAATAATCCATAGCTTTGTTTTTTGCAGTATCTCGTTTGGTAGAAAACCTTTTTTTATTCTTTAATTACTTTTTAAAATTCAGATCTTTGATGTAGCAAGCGGCATGACAAGCATAGGGGGGGTAATGTACCGACACCTGACCCTACTCAGCAACTAAATCAGCACGAGGGTGCAAGAAGTCTAATGAAGGACGTCACTTCGATGAAGGATACTGTGTTTCTTGGAAAGCAGAAGCCATTAGCATGCGTGCAACAGCACAATCCGTCAAGTCTGTGTCTGAGAGAGTAACGAGTTTGGCTGCAGCTCTCGCCAGTAAAAACTACCTCTGCTCAACCTCTTCTACTCGGAATCCTAAAAACGTGTCCGTGGCAGAACAAATAGATGGACGGTGACAGTATTGTCTGTGAGGAGGTGTTTCCTAAGTCGTGGCCAGAAAGATAGAATTGCACGGATGTGTTGAACTCCAGTTGAAATCTGTCATTGTCACAATATCTGCAGACCAATGAGTAGGTTCGGAGTTTACACAGTCTTTTTGTAAAGTGATTTATTGGTATTGTGTAACCTTAAAACATACTGAGAAAACTCAGCGCGGCTTTCGGTTGCAGTTGTTTTTCCTCAGCAATTAGGTTGAACAGCCTTTGTTTGTGTGATGATGAATGTGACAGCGAACATCAAGGTAACATTAGTAAAGAGGAGAATCCCGCTCACGTTGAGCTCAGACGTTGCAAACTCATTTGAAGAAATATTTCTGCACTATTCTTTTTCTGGTTGAGATTTGGTGATCTCATTTGAAGTAACTGTTTATATCACATATGTAAGACTGGTTGAGAAGAAGCTGTGTAGCGCGATGACTGATGGTCCAGGGGCCTCCAGTCCTCTAGCAGTCGCCGAAGTCGGTCCTCGCTCTACTATTGATTGTCGAGGACAACTATCCTGGTGAATAAGAGAGGAACCGGCATGTGATGCTCTCACTTTCTCTTTATTTTGTTAGTAGAACCAGTGGGACCGGCTTCCCCGCTGTGCACCGCGAGTTACAGCATATTCCGACAGTCTCGTAATGTCTTGTTCTTAGATTCTCAGCATCCCTCGATGAAGAGGAACAGAAAGAAAAAAAAAAAACACAGGTTCCTGTTTGTGTTTAAAAACCACAAAATTAACCCTCGAAGGAAAGGTAACAACGCTGGTATGCTGTTTGCTCTCGCTCAGCCGCTCTCTTGAGTCTCAGAGATAAGGTTGCTTGGCAGACAGTTCAACTCCTTCTGAAGGATAAGGGGGGCTGTCTATCCCGCTCTCTCCCTCCATGTGCGTGTCTCTCCCTCTCTCTCTCTCTCTCTCCTTCCTTGCAGCAGCCTCTCTGTACTGTTGGCAGGAGGGACCAGAATAAAAACAGCAACGTAGAAGAGGGGGGGTGCGGTGCGGCGAGGGGCAAGCAAAGTGATCTATTGAACCGAACACTTTGCTTTGCCTTGATCACGTTGACTGCTCTTCGGGGGTTGTGGTAATTAGTTGGAGGAGAATAAAACCAGCTGATCGGCAGAGGGGTGGCTCATTTTCGAGCGAGATGGCTGACAGAAACATTCTGTTGCTCCTCTTTGGACTCTTCCTCTCAGCGCTGATTCAGCCTTCTCTCCAAGGAGGTAAGTGCGTGCTACAGGTGAACTCTGTCAATGACAGACGAGGAACAGGTGCAATGCTTTTGCCTCTTCGCCCCTGAGTGCTTTCGTTATTTGATATTTCAATTATTTGCGATACACCATTCATTCGTTATTTATGTATTAATACACCTCTGCAATGGAATTGTGTGGCTAAATCCACAAATTTCCACCAGAAATTGCTGTGGAAAGTTTTGGTTTGGTGCTATAAACACATCGTCATATAAAGCCACATGCTGCAGTAACGAAAAGTATACATCTGTCTGCACGCCTACCGTGAAGCCCGTAATGGTGGTGCCCCACCTCCCTTCTGCTGAAGGATACTAGTAGATGGAGAGGAAGTTCTTCTCTCCATCAAATGTACTTGTCCGATGCCGATAACCAGCATTCTCCACAACTTATTGTTACACTTAACATTATTACACAGCATCATCAATTTAAAGAAATAGTAATTTGATAGAAAGCTATTCACTGGTTTCCTACATTATTTAGTTATGGATATGCATCTTAATTTTTAAAGTGTATGTTTACATGGCTGAAAACATACTCAAGGTTCTCCAGCTGTTCTCCTTCTACTTAGCAAAACCACTTTGGTATGAACTCCCGCTCAATGAAAGCTGTAAACCTCTTGTCTTTAAGTAACAGCGCTTGTCTTCCTATTTATATAAAAGGCAGATTTGAGGAGTGCAATTAAAAGTTATGGCTTATCTGTAGCAGTGAGATACTGAGCATGTCTTTCCTCCCACTCTCTTTCTCCCGTTGCTGCGTGGCTTGGATTGGGTTCTTAGTCTGAGGTTTTGGATGAGATTCTTTGAGTTTCAGCCCCAAACTGGAGAACATGTTCAGCATCTGGGGCTGCGTGTGAAGGAATCAGATCCATGTTCTGTGTTTATTTACTTAATAGTCACAGCTGTTGGTGTCCCTTAAAGTCCAATGTCCTTTTAGATCCTAAACAAAACATTTTGTCCACATAAAGTATTTTAGTGATGTTGTCGGCCTCCTCTAATAATCAAGTTGATCAAATGTGGCAGATAAGGGCAGCTAATATAAAAGTTGGCTTTGGAACAAAATCTCAACAGAGTGTATAGATTTCTCTCAAACTCGTTCAATCTGTGTCGGTACACTCTAATTTACAAGAAATAACCCTCTCAGCCGGTCCAGAGGTCCATTATCTGTAAGTAAGAAGAACCTCATTAACACCCACTGCTCGGGCCAAAGGCCCCTGCACAGAAAACACCACTTACGGTTGTGAAATTCAACCCTTGAGTAATGCTGCAGTGCAGGGTTGGCCTGAAGCTTTTCCATCGACAAGTGTAAATGAGAAAACATCTGGCAAGGAGTATGCCAGTACATATACCCCCCCCCCTTATGTCACGCATATGTACCGTAGTGTGTTTGCTGGGGTTCGCTTGTACAATGAAGCTTAGAGGCCTCTAATCTTTATTGCAACATTTGATAACTGAATCAAATCCGGACTTTTGTCGGCTGATTCAGATTCAATAATATAGGAGTTTAATCAAGTTGAATTTTCACAGCTGCAACAAGAAGAATAGTGAACAACTCGTTAGGAACTGTATTTGCAGATTGTCTTTGAAATTATACCAACAGTATTGCTCATTATTTCCTTTAAGGCATAAATTCCACATGCATCAATTATTGTGTTTCTCTGTTTCTAAACTTGATATATGTTGTATTCCTCCAGAAAACCTGAACAACCAGCTGATCTAAACAGCTGAAATCATGATTGATGCCGCGAACAATGACAGCGAAGAAATAATGAGTGATAAAACTACAAGCTTAGGTATGCAAGAGTCCCTAGGTCTCATCTCAGCACTTCATTAGTTTGGCTTTAATGACAGCGGCGGATGAAAAGGACAATATAGCTGCTCTGTTTCTTCACAGTGTCCTGAGATCTGAGCAGGTTGTGTAATGTTTTCCCTCGTTTGCCGTTGGCCAGGTTTCAGCCCTGAGGCTTCAGAGGAAATTAATACATTAATCAGTGACACTCGCCTGGCAGAGTGTGACGTTAAAAAGACACACGGTCGTCAGAATGTCTTGCTTTAGTTGTCAAATGTCAGATCTCCAATCTTGACTGTCTTAATTGCCCTTGCAAGTGCTTCTTCAGGCTTTATACCTAGTTTCTGTTAAGGACACCTAATTCCTCTTGCCAACCATACATACCATGAGTACCTGGCTAGTGACTCACTAAGTTGCCATACTAGAGCTTGGTTATTCTCAAGAAATACATAGAAGGCTGTCTTGTGTGTGTTTTGTTCTATTCCTGTAAATTCTTTCATTTTGGCCAAGTAAATTTAATATGTAAATGTTTAGTGGTATAATCTGTAGTGAGGGGACTCAACTCCATTCCATTCCATTTTTTGGGAAGGTGCCTTTGGGTAACAACCAACGACTGACCAAGATTGCCATTGTGAGAGAACTGTTATTCCATGTATTAACGTGTGAGATTGGACATTATGCTCCACGGTTTGCATTTGTGCATTTAAGCACTTTCTGCATCAAAGCACTGAGCCAGAAGCAACCACTAACATTCTTCCTATTGCTGTAACTATCGTTAAGACTGTGATAGTGGGAATACTAGAAGTTTAGGATGGATGGGCTGTTTTTTTAGTTATAAAATTATTGAAATACTGCATTATAAATGTCAAGGGTACAGCTCCTTTGCACAAAACTTTTGGCTAAAGGTGGCTTCATCGTTGTAAACTTGATTTACTATTTAAAGCAATCCAAGTTTCTCAGAAATGGATGGATGAGGTGTAAGAATGTTGGATCGCGGATCAGTGAGTCAAACGCCTGCGAGTTTCTCAGAGGCTTCCCTCTGACATATGTAGAAATATGGTTATCATACGTTTGCATTTATATAATAGAAGGTTTGCACTATTGCTGAAAACATGTATCAGTTAATAATTTCTTTGGCTCCTACCCTTTGCAATCCAAGTAGGAATGTCAGTTTTGCATCCCAGTCAGATGTTTGGTCTGCAATCATCTTCTGCCAAGTGTGAGCGCATCAACTGAAATGATTCATTGACCCACCGATGCCCAACAAACAAACAACATGAGCACAACATACATTGAAGATACTTTTTTATGTAAATCCAGAAGGGATGATGAACTGATGAGTGAATATGGTGATAAAATGAAACTTTGACTTAACGCATTACGTAAAAAAAAACTAATGAAAGTCCTCTGACATGAAAACGTTGTGGGAGAGGGCGGGCGTAAACAGGGCCAATCAAGCCTTTGGCATCAATAACATGTTCTCATCCAAACCAAACAATTGTGTAACTTTTGATGGGTTTAAGCCACACAACTACTTCAGAATATCAGATGTTGGTCCAAAAGAATACATTAAAATGAGTGATTTCTGTTTAGAAAAGAGTAGAAAATACCGTTCATTCATATTGTGGCTACTTTATATATATATATATATATATATATATATATATATATATATATATATGTGTGTGTGTGTGTGTGTGTGTGTGTGTATATATACAGTGTATTTAGAGCTTAACATTGAGGAAAAAAGGAGACAGCACATTTTATTTTTACACGTCTCCCAATAGTAAATGCAGCCTTTTATAGTCCATTTAACATTGCACCTGTGGTTACACAAATCCGTCAATCAAAAGGAGTCATGATGTAGTTTTGTATTTCACTGGCTTTTTGTGATCTCACACGGCTGTTATCTTCAACCAGGGGATATCATTTCCTCATGTTCAACTGTGAAATACAAGAGAGTCCACCGCTGTTACATGTATAAAATACATGTATAAAATACATGTAACAGTAGCTTCCTCTGGGAAGACACCCAAAGGCCAGCGATTAAACAATCAGAAGATTAGAATCAGGTTTTCTGAGACTTTACAATTAAAATATTGCCATCTCAGTTTGTCTGCCAGTGAATACCTCAAACCGAGGTTCTACTTTGGAGGAGGGCCGGGGGTAAAGATGGGCAACGTTTGAAAGAAAGGGTGGAGTAACGCTCCTCGCGCTCTCCTCTTCCACCCTCATCGCGCTGCGGGAACGCTGTCGCGCGGCTGATAGTCAAGTCAAGTCATTTTATTTTGTATAGCCCAAAATCGCAAATTACAAATTTGCCTCAGAGGGCTTTACAGTCTGTACACATACAACATCCTCTGATAGCGGGCGATGTGAGGGGGGAAATAACCGCAGCGTTTGCTCGGCTGCACTGTTGCTCTCGGGTGCAGTAAAAAGACAATCTCTCAGGCTGAACACAGTTAGAATTTTGCCAAAACACTTTTTTATTATTTAATCATGAGTAAATAGTGGTGCAGAGTTGTGTAATGGTCGGCTTGGTCAAGGTGATGTAGACACATTACAGAGTTTTGTAACGTCTTGCAATGGTTATGAAATGCTGTAATGTTAGGGTTTCGGAAAGCTCTCGAGGGAGGCCTCACTCGACTAGGGGTGCACTTCTGGCTTACATCCCTAACAGTAATAACAATAAGTTGTGTGTGTTCCCCTCCTTGAAAAACATATTGCCGGAGAAATAATTAAGCAATGTATATATATATATATATATATATATATATAGTCCGACACTCACAACATTAAATGATACCATACTAAACTTAAAAGGCGCTGGTCTTTACCACCTTGCATCCAGTGGATTACGTCATTTTATCAAAGTTCATAACATTGGAATTGGACGGACCAAAACATTTGCACAAACAGATTATCCAGAGCCTATGAGCTTTTCGTGTATTGTGCTTTTTGAGTTGTACAATAACATATCTGATTCCTCTGGAAACTAAATTCTAGTTGGGGAATTTCTCAGTAATTGTGCTTTGGGATTTGGGATTTAATAACCATATGGAAGTGTCGAATGGTAACAGGGTCAGAAATCACCCCAAAAACCACTGTGTCATAAAACAACAAGTGCTGTTATGCTGGAGTTTGCTAAGGGACTCTAGAAAAAAACACTAAGGCAACACTGGTTGAGGGACAACGGGCATTTCTTAAAGTAAATCATAACGTTAACCAGATCACCACGTCCCTGTGGGCTCCCACATGAGAGGTTCACACACGCCTACAAGTGCAATGGATGTCAGCAATCATCCTCAAGGAGACTTCAGAATGAAAACATGTTGACTTTTCTTTCTTACTTAATTGATGTTTTTTACCACTGTGTTAAAAGAATGATCTCACCTTTGTGTGCATTCACACTTGCTCTCGTGGCTCCTCGGCCTTGAAGCAGCTGCTCTTACCGGTTGACTGCGATAAAGTGTATGTATGGTGAGATGGGGGGAAAAAACATTATTTAAAAGATCATTAATTATCTAAAATTGTTTATCCCACACAATGCACTTTGATCGCGTACTGTAACTTCACTATCCGTTTGACTCATTTCCCTTAATGCTAATGACAAGCTTACTGAAACAATGTCAACCGTGAGTCTTACAGCTGGACCACATTTCAGTGCGGAGGGGAGTGACGATAAATCCAAATCCCAGTCAGGGTTCCTGTGAGTTCATGTAGATCATCGGCCTCTTAATGTACTCGGTGCAGCTCCGGTTCACACTGCAACAGTAAGAAATGGCTGCTCAGTTTGCACCTGAAGGCTTTTTGACATTTATTGGTGCTTCTGACTTCTGACTTTCCTTCATCACATTGTCAATCTTAACAAGTTTCGGGATTTGTTTTCACTTAACCTGCTGTGTTACTGTGTAATGGACGTGTCCCAAGCCCGAGTGATATTGTTTTAAGAAAGAGGATTCCGCTTGTCCTCTCTACTCCGCAGTACAGTTTACACTGCACACATTGGCCATTCTTGCTTTCTTATCCATCAATGGAGAAGCCATTGTTTAGGCAAGATCACGACACTAGCACGAGTCCCACCACGGCGATACATTTATTAATCAACGTTATTTATGTATAAAATAAAGTCACGGCCAACTCTTGATGGGAGATGACTGGCTTGTTGAATATTGTTTGTTATATAACTGAATTGTGTCACATGTTCACATGACCTGTTGTGCTTCACAAGGAACCCATCAGCATGATGATGATTACGATAATTAAGCCAATCATGAAGATGTGTAGTATATATATATATAAATACATGTATTGACATATGGCAGGTCACCTGGCAGGTGTCAGAATGAGCCTCATTTGGATGCACAGTGAACTTGGCGCTTGCCTACTAGTGGCACAGCGGCCCGTCGGGATTCTTCGCGAGCGGAAAACTTGAGCAGACGCACACTCCCTCTTACTTTGTGTGCAGCGCAGAGGCAGGAAATCCTTCCTTTGATTGTGGAATGAAGGAGCAGAATCGAGAACATTCATTCCGGCTCCCATAAGGTGGTGCCTGCACACAAGTTCTCTGCCGTGAAGCCGATGGCCTCGCAGAACAGACACAAACAGGTGCACAACCTCATTACTTGACACAAAATGCATAATCCCGGATTTTATTATTTATTCCTAATTTTCATTTGAGCCCGCGGGATTGCGAGAGCTCTTCAGTAAGTCATCAACATCACAAGACCAAATTCCAAGAAAATGGATTAGTTTTACCATTCTCCGGCTCTAGCATTAGTCGAAAATCGACCTCCCTCTCGTCTGTCAATAGGTCCTTTTAAGGAGGAACGCTGTGTCCAAAGCCACAGCTGCTGCCATAACTGCTCCCCATTAACTCTACTGTTGAAAAAATATGGATATCAAAATAAAGGAATACCTCCTGCCTTATTGTTTTTACAAGCTAGTTAAATGACAGAACTATTTGTTCTCGGTATTTGTTAAACAGAGTTACATCTTCAGGACTCTTCAGAGCGTTGATTCTTAGGGAACAAGAACATCACTGGTTTCTTTCATTGATCGTCACTCACTGCTCATTTTCCCCACTAACCACAGCAGCGACATGTAACTGATATCGGGGCACAAAACCCATTAAATATTTCCCAACTTGTTAGTGAACAGAGTATGCTTGGTTGCAATGGAGGAATATTGCAGGCTTTCTTAGTAAGCTGCATAGATGTGTGCTTTTTGGCATTCTTCAGGCGTATGTGTCATCAATTTTCATTCAACTATATCGGACAGTAATTCCTTGTAATGTTCTTCTCCCAATGGACGTACTCAGTGGACAGAACTCAAAGCTTGTGTTCACACAGAATTGTCTAATAAACAGATGTACGTCTTCGACATGTGGTTTAAATTAATCGGCGTCCCAACACATGATGGGGCCATTAAGCATAATCATTGAGGTCCTATGGCCCCATTTTTTTTCCGCTGTATTTTCACCAGTCTTTTTGGATTTAGCTATTAGTTGTCCCAGAACAACTGGAGTCACCTTTCCTCATTTCTGTTGCTGCTCTTTGCACTCATGAGGCCACATGTCTGGGATCAAGAACGACCATCTCGGGATTTACTCTGGTTGCGGCCAAAAATCATTTGAGAAATGAGTCGAGGGGACGTAGGTGGGGGTTGAGATTCTCCACAGTCCTTCAGCAGCCTTCTTAGTGAGGTCTCCAACTACAACACCTCATCAGAATGAAAACAATTGGAGCTTCCACTTGATCAAGCCCATAAAGTAATTTCTTTTTTGTTTCTTTCTCTTTGGCTCTGGGCTGTTCACGTTTGATTGTGTGCCCCATCACTGCGATGACGCGAGGGCCGAGGACAGATTCCCATTTTAATGTCCTTCACGGATGATCTAAGTGTTTAGGAATGTTCAACTAATGAATTGGGTCATTGTCCAGAGATGCTGCTGCAAGCGTTGCAAAAAAGAACAATAAGAAAATACTTCAAAGCATCACTTCAAAACTTTTCTCCGTACTCTTAGCCAGTGTCACGCGTGTTAGTGATAGAAGATGACCTTTCTCTGTTGCGTGTTCTAGGCGTGTACGTGCCAGCAGGTGCTGGGGTCGGACCTGGAGGCACAGGAGGCAGGACTGGATTCTTTCCAGGTAACCAAGCATCCAATGGCTTGATATATAATGGCTTAATATATAATATCAAGCCATCAAGCCATATATATATATATATATATATATATATATCTCCCTATATGAGTTATAACAGTTGAATGAATACTACTGTAGTCCAGAGGTTGTACTGAAAAAGGTGATCCTGCAATTGGACTAAAAGTAAATACATTCTTTATTAGTAATATAAAGTAATAGTAATTAATATATACTTTATTATCACACCTGATTAAATGGCCTTTAGTATGATGTAACACCGCCAAACCATTAAAGCTCTTTGTCTTTCATAGTATCACATTCAAATGCAATACTTACAATACAGTACAATACAATACAATAATTCAAGATTCAAGATTCAAAGATTGTATTGTCAAATACACCCCCCCTGTGTATTGAAATTCTTATGCTTGCCTTCTCTGGAAAGCCGACCAATGAGGTAAGGGGAAATGTGCAAAACTGAGCAGGTTGTAAAAATGTCAACTAGTATTGATTATTGTTGGACTAATAGATTGTGACCACTCCCTGCTATATACACGCAATGACTTAATCACTCATCTTGCAAAGATTAATAGCAGAATTAACGTGATTCCTCCCACATTGCAAAATTGTCAGCTTTCTTCTTTAACATTGATATATAATGCTTACATTTGAAATGAGATCATTGTGCTGTCCTCATAGTTTAATCGTGCTGTACTCTTGTGTGTACTGTTCACACTGCATTTCCTCCACAGCACCTTGATCTCATTGTGGTAAAGTCACATTTGAGAAAGGGACATTGTGAAAGACAGAATCATTTTCTGTAATGAGTCACGGCTAGACCAAAAAACTGTGTTTTACATGGTGACATTTAGGCCCACCATAACTGTACTCTGTATGATTGTTGTTTTACAAGGGTCTGCTGGAGGAGTCGGCTATAAACCAGCTAAAGCTGCAGGTGAGAAAAGGAAACATTAGTTTTATGATTTTATTCCCCATCTACTGTATGAAATATGTTTACAGCAATCACATCTGGTTTTACTGATCAATGATTTGGATCCAAAAAAACAGAAAGGTTTGGTTTCATTGCTTATTCTTTGTTCGATACTTCCTTTGAAGTGAATGTAACTTCATACTTACAGTCATTTATTGACCTTCATTGCAGGTTTATCTTGCACAAGCTGCAAAGGTTCACACGTGAAATGTTTGCTTTAGCTCATTATAAATTATATATATTCCATATGGTAATCTCAGTCACAATAACAACGTGGCTTTCCCAGCGTCTTTATTATGTCGTCCAAATGGCTTCTGCAACACTCACACTTTTGACCCTCGGATATTCCGTCTGGTGTTCATCATTTTACACATCCATAGCAAATAAACTCAGCTGCTCGTGAACGGTCCACTTCTGCGCGTGCACGCTCCACTTCAGCAACAGTTGGCCGTCCATCCGCAGGCCGTGTCCTGGCATGGCTTCAGCTCCATGTGCTCAACCAGTCTGACCCCGTTCAACCTTTTTATAGCTCCGAGTACCTCAGCCATGACTGCAGGAAGACATTTTGTTACGTGTTAAGGTTTTGCAATTGAAATATTTTGAGGCCTTTAGTTCAAATTTGTCTGTCGGTGTTTGTAATTTGTTTCCGACGAAGGTGTAATATTTATAGCGTGATAACCAAAACAAGAAGAAATGGTTTTACAGAAAAATTCCCCGTAAACACACTTTCTTTGGCCGGATCTGAAGGAAACACATGGTGAGGCTTCCTTGTTAAACCAGCACAGGCGAGGAATAATTAAATCCTAGGGACATAGCTGTGGCAATAAACAATGTGTGTGGGACCAACCACTGTTGTTTAGCCAAGAAAATGGGAAATAATATGAGGTTTGAGATTTTAGGTTACATATATCTCCTGGGTAAGTAGTGATTATAAGAATCTTATTAATGATAAAGTATAATGACATGCCAACATGACATGAACTTTGTTAGGAAAGGATCGTTTAAATCGTGTGCACCATTTGACCCTCTCAGTAGGAGGTTATGGAGGTGCGGGCGGCCACGGCGTGGGCCAAGGTGGTCTGGTGCCAGGAGGTGTTGGGCATGGCGGCTTGGGTGTTGGAGGACTGGGTGCAGGTATGAAGATTCCATGAAAAAGCAGACTCAAAAAGAATATGTACAACTGCAGAATCTGTAGACAAAAGAACACAATCTTGAAATGACTCTCGTTTCTATTATATAAGTGCAGTGGAATTGTTTTTAAATCTTATTGGAATCTTGACATGGTGGAAAATAAGCAAATGTTCTTTAGTTATTTGCATGTGTATATATTTAAAACTGCAGAGCCTCACATGTATATTCACCCCATAGGACAAGGTGGAAAGCCCCCTAAACCAGGTAAGTTGGTACATTTATCACCATGCTACTGAGTGATGTAAAATGTATAATAAAGTGTGAGTTTTATGTTGTATCTACTTATATATGTCTTGTAAATTGAGAATTCCATCGCACTAAATGTAATATGCGTCGGTAGGAAGCAAATGCATTGTATTTTCAAGGGGTGGATAAAGAAAGTAATTGTGTGTGACACATTTATCACACTGCAAAAGAATGGGAAGACCTACACAGATTTGGGGCCCCGGCTGCAGAGAAACAGTCTTTTGAGTTCTTCTTATCACCCCTGTGTTTTCGTCGGTTTGGGTTCACAATGGCTTGCCAGCTGTTCGGGGCGTCCTGACTGGGTGGGACCATGCATACAGACCCCAGGACCTCTGCTGTGCTTGGGAGTGATGATTGGCAAAGTGTGAATGGCCATCAACGGCTGCCAAAGAATGGTGCCACAGCCCTGATTAATGTTATTGTATCGCCGCACTCTTACAATATCTGTAAACTTCTGTCTTGAAATCTAACGCGGCCCTTTTTCTCTGATAACATACAGTGAATATTTTCCTTTGCCGTATCAGAGTCTGCGCCGCATTTGGGATTTAGCAATTTCTTAGCCAAGGTTTAATTTTCCGTAAACATTGCTGATACAATCTCAGCCTACCTCTGTGTGTTTATGAAGATAAGGAACCAGGCAATAGTGCTGATAGTACATGGAGCGTGTTACAGGAGGGTCCCACAGCCGTGTCAACCCTCTGCCCTCAAAGAAGGGTTTCAGGTCAGCCCTTTTGTGAAAATGACCTAATATCCAGTATTTGATGGAGGTTTGTTTTGGCTGGGATGAGTAGAGCTTTACTTGGGAAGTATTGCTTTTCGTATGAATTACATTTCTCCCCAGAGTGCATGGCATAATATGATAAAACCAGCTGCACTGCAATGTGGGCATGGAGCTGCCTCAAACACTATTTATGGTGAAAGCTTTTTTTTTCTCCTGAATCAGCTCTGTCTCTGAGTTTGACCGACCGAATTAATTAATAATAATTTAATTTAATTTAATCATTTTATTAGATTATTTAGTATAACAAACCACCGGGCGGGTCAGGTTAGCACACTGGCTCTTTGACTGTTAATAAATGTAAGATTCTGTTACTAAAGAAACAAAAATCCAAACACTAGTAAACCACTCTTGGATGCACAGTCATACACATCAGCACGATGGCTGCCATTAGTTCTTGTTTGGAAGCCAAGTAGTGACATTATATTCCACTGATACACACCTAACCTGGCCAATAATGGAGAGCTGCAGCTGGCCATGTGAGTAGCGTGACTGCAGGGAATTGCAGCGTAGCTCATGCGAGACCTTGTAAACGTTGGACTAATTGTGAAACCTTCCAGCATCCAACTTTGACAGCTGTTGGATACCGTCTGCTTTGCTGTGTTCTCCAGAGCGAATCAGCCTCTTGTCCCTTTCAGGAAGACTTTGACAGTTAACAAGAACCAAAAAGGTTACTGTTTTTTTTCAGAGTATAAAATATTATAATAGGAATTTAAAATAGTTTTAGATGGTTTCTGGGTGGGATATCTACCGTATGTATCGACGCTTAGTTGGCCAATTGAATCCCAATTGAACAATAAGAACTGTAGATGTTCGAAAGACACCATGTGATCCGTCCCACCTTTCTCTTACTGTCTGAAACACTACATCAATCTGAGAGCAGTGAAAAATCTGATGAGACGCTACGTACCACAGGAAGTGTGTGGGAGGTGTGTTTGAATAGAAGATAGCATTGGATATAAGGATAGAAATAGAAGCCTGGTTGGCGGTGGGTTATTTTGGGCATTGCTTGATTTGACATGAGCAGTTGGGCAGATTGGCCGACCCAAACTGCCTTTTTCATGGATAACTTTGTACTATTTTTGTTGTTTTGCAGTTGTTCCAAACTGGAAATTGATGACGTGACTAGATAATATGAGCGTATTCATGTTCACAAACTAACATTGTAATGCAGTACGACTCTGCTGCTCCCCAAAATACTTTCTCGAATGCATGAACTCTAGATAAGCACACCAAATAAACTGGAGGCTGTCCTTATGTCGCTTCTTATCTGACCGTCATATTGGCTCTTCCCTGCCTCTTCACATAATATTTAAAGAAATATTCACAACAATACTGCCAAGATACAAATCATACTCAATATAACAACATCAATATAATTTAACCTGAAGTATTTCATTGGTTAAAGCTGCAAAAAGTCTCTGAGTGAGTACATTTAGTATCTTTTGGATCCAACCTAGACTGCAAAAGATACGGAGGGGATTTCTGAGTCTTCCCAGCCTGTGACCTACACATAATGGTACTCAAGACTTTTCCCCAAAAAATGTCTCAAATGCACTGTATACACAAACATGCACACACCCTCCCACACACACATTAATGGAGCTTGCTGATAGAGACTGATTGGTTGCTGATGAACGTGTTTAGCCAAAGGAAGATGAGCTTGGAGGAGATTTAGTCTCTTTTAGAACACACATGTGTTTCATTACTGGAGCGCAGACTTGTCCTCTGAGACTGGAAGCATCTGCATGTGAATATTACCATGGGTTTCAATATCTTCCAGTCTGCATCTAGGTATTTGTTTGGGGTCACACAGAACCTCGACACACAGACTCATTAGCTCACACAAGTGTTTCCCATTGAAATCAAAGAAGAGCCGTGCAAAAAGACAGCATTTCCCTCTACTCTTAGCAGCTTGTCTTCCTCCTTGTTTTCTTGAGTCATTGACATTGGAGTAACATAAGGGCTTTATTAAGTATATATTGCCTAATCAATCACGCATACCACACATTAGAGTTGTTACTGTCGATACTCTCCACCCGTTCACCGTCCCGCTCAGTGTCTCTCTTTGCCAGGTAGTTTTCTGTCACTACCAGTGTCCATAGGGGGAGTTGATGCGCCATCCAGACTCTCAAGACCTCTCCCCGTCTCCGTATGCCAGCGAGGACCACCGGGGTCTATCTTGCAGGATAACCTAAGTGAAGTCTTTGTAGTGATGCAGAAAGACGCCATAAAATTAGAGCCCCAGTTGAATGACTTTGATGGCGTTATATAGAAACTATTAAAACTGAGCTATACACTCACACGCGTAGCAATATCGGACCCAAATGGTCCAAAACAAGGGGGAGGATGTTGCATCGTGAATTACTTCCCAGTAAATCAATACCTTTAAAATGCAGTAGTGCTTAGTGTGTCTGTGTAACAGGTGTCTGTAGTCATGTTACTAACTACTGAATGTTGAGTAATTCAGAACAGTGCAGCACAGTGGAGCAATAATGGATTTAGATTTCTCAACACTCATCCCAAGCTGCTGCCGCTGAAGTAATAGACCTGTAAAAACTCTTTTTACTAATGTACAATTCTTCCCGCTGTCAATAGAAATTTAATTTCCACTTGTTGTCCTTTGTAGAGCATGCAAATGTCAGGTGGCTGTACAAAGATACACAAAGGTACACAACGTGTGCATTAAATGCTTTTAAGGCTCACTCAGTGGAACCAACGTCAGTGTTTCAATGTGCTTGTTGTGAGTCGAGCCGACCTGTTGAACACGAGTCGCAACCCTGAGTTGTCAGAGACATGTTCCTGTGAGTTACAGTTACATGCACATGTGGACCATCTGTGGAGGAAACACCCTCGGCCAACTTTACACAACCGTGGCTGTGTTTTCTTGACCGTTTTTCTGGCCCAATGCATCATTTGCACTTCTCGGGGTGGGGAACATACCTGTTAGAAATCAGTGCGCACTCTGTGTACTACTGTTTACTTTAATGCTTGCAGTGTGTTCGGCACCCCTCAGGTGGCTGGCGTGTGTGCGCTAAGCTGCAATGGGTGATGGTATGAGCTCTGGGTTAGGGACACAAAATGCTCTCTGGACAGCTTAAGGGGCTTTGTCTCGGCAGAGTGATTGCGACTTTCCTTGAGAATGAACTTAAAAGCTTACAGCGTAGCTCGTTTCAGCTTTTTGTGACTTGTAGCTCAAACAATGACATCACAAACTGCAGCAGGTATGCTGCGTGGTGTACAAATTACCGCAGTTTGAATCAAGAGACAGCGGTAAAGTTCTTCCAGCTGATGGTTTTGAATACAAAGCACGTGTTTGTTGAGGCAGGAGTCTCACATGAACTCAGGCTGGGGAAGTCAGACATGCACGGACGTCAGTGGGTAAAGCCACCTTCAGTAGTTGTAATCTAACTGGTGTGTAATGGTTACAGCATTCATTTGGGGCCGATTGCGAGACCCCTCAGAGATGATGTATGTGTTCTCATGCCAAAGCATAACACAACAGTTTTAATGTTTTAGTGACGATCCCTACCAACAATGACCACAGTGATTTGGATCTGAACCCTAACCCAAAAGCAAACATGTTATAATATCAGGAGACCTGATACCCTTTCCTTGTTTGTCTCTAGCAGCTCTGACAGTTGCACTCTGGGTCATCTGGCAAAGAGAGGGGCCGAGGCTTTGGGACCTCTCCTCGATAGTGTCGATGACTCCATGGAAAAGGAAAGCGGAAAACAATAAAAGGCTTGCCGCCAAAGTCGGCTGGCTCACGCCAGCCAGGGAGCGGGTGAAGCTTGTACGTACCGTTGTGTGGCCTTTTTTTAAGTGTGGGTTAATTAGACCAGCATGTGACTGGTTGAGCTTTTCACAGCTCGGCCTCCAGGCCGCCTTTGAAGATGACTTTATGTGGACAACCTTCCATTACTGTATGGCAGTATTTGCACTGCAATATCATGCCGCTTGTTGCAGCTGTACCTTACAATATTTATGATGATGGTCTGAACAGCAAATCCAGTGTTTGGGTTTTCTGTGGCTCTAATGCTTTCAGTGTCCCGTGGCTTTTCAGAAAATAAACATTTGTTCTTAGACAGTCTGCCTGATTAAATATGAGCTAAAAAGAGTAAAGCGGTGAGAAACGAATCACAAAAATGCTTCTAGACATTCCAGAGCTCCAGCTCCAAAGTTTCCTTTCCAAGGGTTTGCCGTCTGTTACGGTGGATCTCTGCCATGGAATTCTCTCTTAAATTAAACCCTTCACAAAGTAGAGAAATGGGGAGAGGGGGAGAAAAGGGGACGAGATGGAATTCACCTCTCACGTTGGGCCTCTTTTGGTTGCGTCTGTTAGCACCTCACGTCTGGTTGGCGCAACTCCTTCACACCTTCTGGAGAGGAAAGAGACAGAAAAACATAAAAAGCACAGAGAGACGGGCAGATAAGAGAAAGAGACAGACAGCCCGAAGACAATGTTTTGATGAATGTCTCTTGTGCTCCTCTGGTTCTGTAACAGAGGATTATCTTACCTAACCCCAATGGAGCACGAGCAAGATTTTTCAGCTTTTGAGATTGAAACCAGATATGTTTGTTCTCACTGGCCCACGTCCTTGACAAACATGTCGCGCTAGTCGCGCCGTCAGGCCAGTTTTATTCCAGCGTCAGATTTAAATACGGATGCACGTAACAAAAGGTACAGGTGGAGGAAACCAATACGGCAGCCTGTCTCTAAATTTCCTTCCTCCAAGATCGAGACTCCTTCTTCGTCAGAGACGGTCCAGCTCGTCTTATTGAGATCATATCTATAGCAAGCCACCACAAATCCATATCCACTGCCACACCAGCCCAAATGTATCCCCGACAATCTGCAGGTGTGCTGGTGTCGATGTGTAGCTGTGGATGGAATCCGGCTAGCGAGCCGTGTGTCTGACACACTTTTTTTTAACTTCAGATCTAAATGGAGGAAACTATGATGCATTACAGATTCGCATCAATTCAATCGCCTTGACCCTGAGTCCCTCCAGTGCAGGATTAGGTTTGTGTCCTCACCATCTTGTATTCAGAGATTGATTCAAAGATAAAGCAAGCCACTACACTGGTGGACGGAAATCCTTCAGTGTGTCAGTAATCAACCAGAAACTGGGCGCAGCATCAAATAAAAGTGATGATTCAATATCACGCTCGTGGTCCAGACATTCTATGCCTGTGGCTCTTGACAACAATAATGGGGGTCGGTTTGACTTAGATGACGTTCTGTAGCAATAGCAAACGCTTGTTTAGGTGGACAGGATGGCATAAATAGACTCAACCCTACTCCCAATACACAACCAGTTGAAGCCAAACCAGCAACGGTGCAGATTTGGTTAGCGTGTCCTTGATATTTTGATCTTGAAAATACACAACCTCCCAAGTAGTTTTTGTTACTTGAGGGCGTTTTATTTTCTCCTGATCTCACACCGGAGAGCTGAGCTGAACGTGCTGGTGGACGCGGAGCTTGCTGCCTAAAGCCAAGTCGGGTTGAAACTGAAACTGCAGGTGGGACAAGGACAAGGAGGAACGACAAAACGCATCCACCTCATGACACATTCTTGTAATCTGGAAGCCAGACCAGACAGCACAGTCCTAAAGGACCATTTCAAGCCAGACAAGCCAGTTGTTTTATGTTTCCGAATAAAAGCAGTGGTCCATATTTTATTTAAACTATCTTGTTTTTTTTATGGTATGTGAAGCTCTGACAAAAATCAAGCAAATAAAACAGCTTCCTTGTGTCAATGCAAAAGACAGGAAAATGGAAAGTCCCTGATCAGTCTGATTCACATAAGAATTGATTAGTGTTTGTATTACTTCAAGGTGCATCTGGAGATGGTTGAGCAATCGAGTAGAGTGGAGCTGGAAGCTTTGAAGAAGACGGATTATTGCAAGGACGCTTAGTTTAGCATCTGTGCTCGCGTTTGAATGCTCAGTCTGTTGGCCAAGCTCTTGGCAGGAGCAATGCCTGCATTTGTTTTGACTGGGCCAGGTCATGAAACTCCACCCTTCCAACTTTCTATCTGTCTCCCCCGGCACATTCCTCCTCTTCGTCATCACCTGCACCCTGCAGATTGAAGGACTCAAAGCTCTCGCCCTCCAATCTCATCCCCCCCACCTCCCACCATCCGCCCCACTCCCATGGTCAGCTTTATTCCCATGCTCACTTGTTCTCACCACAGATATTTTGGCTTATGAGTGTGGATGAAAACAAGTTCCTTGCCGGACTCGCCTGCTGGCAGTGTTCTGGTATACTTTTGTTTCAGAAACATTTATTGGTCCAGCATGTTCATCGCTAAAACAGGGGGGAACTTGTTCAGCTCGCTTTTGTCAATAGAACCCCGATAATTTCTACTCAGAGAGTCATTTGCCTGACATGTTTTACAACATGGAGTCACATGCCTGGAAAATAGGAACACTTCGACAGTGATCCACTTAATAAATCTACTCTTGAATCATATCCCGACTTTTTCATTTTGTCCTTATAGACCCAGTGAACTCTGAAAAATATTCTATATCTACACCTTATTGATAATATGTTTGTCTGCACATTTGGGCACCTACTTAATTTAGTTTTGTTTACCTCTTTAGCCTCATATTGTTTGGTTCTCAGAACCCAAAGCGCGGATATAACTAATTAAGTGTCAGATCATAGTTTAAGGCTTTTGGTCTTAACAGATTGCTCTCTCCAGTGTTTCAAGAGCAGTGTAAACCGACTCTAACTACTTTTTACGTTTTGTCTCTTGTTTATTTTGGGTTAATTGAATGGTTAATTTGGATAATAAATGATTGAATCAGCAGTGACCAATTAAAGCCACAATAGGAACGACCATGGGTCTTTTCTTTGACCCCCCCTGCACTTTTCTACAGTTTGTACAGTAATTCTCCTTCCAATTCTCCTTCCATTTCCTTCAAACTATGCTCACCGTCCTTCTTTCCCATCCAGGTTATGGCAATCTAGGAGCCGGTGGTGTTGGAGTTGGTGGCCTGGGAGCTGGAGGCTACGGAGGAGGTGACAATGAACATTTGGTTGACGGAAGTTTAGAACATTATATTTTCTCTATAACAGCAAACCTTTTTATCCTCACTGATATTTTTTCCCCTTGGTTTCATTTAGGTGGTTATGGCGGATATGGTGGCGGCACAGGGGGCTTTTTCCCAGGAGCTGGACAGAAGGCTGCTAAAAGAGGTGCAGCACATGACCGATAATATCTTGTCCTGTAAAGTCTGGCTAACACATGTACATTTCGTTTAGTCTCATCCCATCGTAGGGCCAGTGCTGTTCTATGCCTAAGAGCTTGGTCTAAATTATTAGTTGGACATGACAAAATTGCAGTTTCTTGAAATCATTCATGACACATTTTAAAACAAAAGATTCCCTCACCAAAACTCCTGGGGCCACATACTTCAGGCAGCATGCAATGTTTCTCCAGCAAGTTACAGGGGGTTTAAGATTAAAAAATATAAGCAGAAAGATTTAAACAAACAAACTAACGTGCTTTATTCTGTTGCCAAACTCCCTTACAAGTGAAGTGGTTCATTTACTCTATGAAGGGATAGCCAAAGAAATTAGGCATTTGATGAGGCAAATGCCATTCTGGCTGGCTGCCCCGCCCCCCCTGATTAGATTATAAATCAGCCATGTTGCTTTTGATCATCCGGTAATGACAGATTTATAGAGACAGAATAGCTGCTCTTAATACGATGGTGAGTCTAAAAATCAAACTACCTGCAGAAGAGATCAAGTCTGGCACGAGCCACTCACCTGTTTCAGCCTCGCGGGGCCCTCTAGTGGCCATGAGGTGTTCAACACTTGAATATTTGTGTTGTAAGGAGACCTGAAATTGAATGGAATTGGTTACATTCTGTACTTTTGTCCATGGATTTAATTCTCAAACAGGGACTGGAGGCTTAGGAACTGGAGCCGCAGTGCCTGCTGGAGGCAAGACACACAACACGCACCAAACATCAATCTTTGTTTGTCATTTTGCACTTTTTCATGTTCGTCTGTGATTTCTGCCTCACAGGGACTTGAAACACGACTTCCATTTAATATTTCCACTTTATGCTTTAGGAGGACTAAAATCTACTACCGCAAATTAGCTCTTTGTTAGTATGTGACATGAATAATTTCTTAGACAAAGAGCCCTTTTGGGCTGCGAATAGTACTTTTCCTAATATAGAGTTTAAATGTGTTTTTTCAGTGCCTGTTATTCCTCAGACAGGCCTTCAAGGAGGAGGTGGGGCCGGGGCTGGAAAGAAAGCTGCCAAAGTGCCAGGTTTTGTAGACTCAACAATGAATTAAAAAGGCTGAAGACAGACGGGATGCAGTCGATGCAGCACAGCCACATCAAATGAATTAAAATACTATTTTATGTGTCAGAGGGGGCAATAAATCACATCGTTGCACTTCAGAGAGTTTATTTGATGTGGTTAACTGGGCATGGATTCATTGAACAACAGAAAACACACATACATGATAGTTTGTGAAAGTGTGGATTTGTAGTGTATACATTATACGTGCCTACATACACCAGCCTGTCTATATTCCTGTTATTTGGGGTTATAGGTTTGATGTTCTAAGAAGTAGAACCAACAAGAACCAACAAAAAATTCTCTTTTTAAAATCAAACATCCAAAATGATCATCTCTTCCAGAGGATTTCAGTCATATGATAAAATAAACTATTATAAAAACAGCAAAGAAATTATTTTTAAAAATGAGCCCATGATGCAGAAGTATCAATCACCTCACCTGGCTTTGCTGCATCCTGACTGATTATTTTCGTGGCACAGATTTGACATAGCGATTGAATGATTTTTTGATAAATACTTAAATAAACAGATTTTTGCCGTCCATTCAGTCCAGATCTGTCTCACTTTTGTATGTGTATGTGGAAGGGAAGTATCAGTCTCCCATTGGCTTTGGCAGGTGTGGGCGTGCCTGGACTTTACCAAGGTGGACTGGTGCCAGGACAAGGTTTGTCTTGTTGGATTCACATTATTTCCCACTGTTTGTTAACATTTTCATTGTTGCTTAATGCTTCTACAGTTAATGACTGCAGGGATTTAATGGGTCTTTTCCTGTGGGGGTTCGGGGGTTGTCCATGGCTCCTTCAGGGTTTGGCGGACGTGGCGTTCTGCCTGGTGTTGCCATAGGAACTAACCTAAATCCCAAGTCAGGTCAGATAGCAAATTGTCATCATGATGAATTTTGAATTTCTTGATTTGACATTGATTACCACTTGTAATTTTACTTTGGATTGCTATATTCATTTTAATAGATTTTTGATTGATTGTATTCTTTACACATGTTAACAATTTGAAGAACGCAGCAAAGCAAGTTCTACATAGAATAATATTTTCATGTATATATCTCTAGATCTATAGTTAGATATTGAAAAATCAATTCATTGGTTGATTTATATAGCTAAATGGGTGAATGTGAGGGTTCTGGGACCAATGATGTTTGGTTGTTATAAAGATTCTAAATCCCTCTAAGGCGAATTTGTGATTTTGGACTGAATGAATGAATGAAAATGTAATTCAGTTAAATTTATGTTGTATAGAAGAAGAACATCCTTGAGAAAACATGAGGCTAAAATAATGACTGTGTGACTTCTGTCTGACTGCAATATGTGATTTATTTTATGCAGTTGTAGGGGGAGGACAAGGTGGTCCAGTACAAGGTAAAGTTATCTCTGATTATTGGTGTATTTGAATACATGTGTCAGTATTATTGGTATTAACAGCTTAGGATCTAAATTGATTTATTCTGTCTCAGGAGGCCGCGGGTACGGTGGGCCAATGCAGCCCGGTGTGTTCCACGGATATCCCCTCAAAACCCCCAAAGTGCAAGGTGTGATTTGGATCTATAACTTAGGAAGTTAAACTCTTTAGTTCAAATAAGAAAGATGGAAATTCTTACAGCAGAAAGACTTTTACTGATCTTATTGTCTTTGGTATATGCAATGTGGGTTTTTATATTTTGACATCTGGAGAATCTGGTATGTTTTACATTTCAGAATTACTATCCAAACACAGCTTACCTATTTTCATTTCTTGTATTGACTTCAACGCCTTGTTGCATAATGTTCATGTGTGTGCACTGAATCATTCTGGCTCGTCGATCTCTCAAATGCTTTTTGTTCCTCTAAAGGTGGCTACGGAGCAAAACCTGGAGGTGGAAAACTGCCTTTTGGTAAAAATAACTCTTTAAAGTGTTATGAAAAATGTTGTATGACTGTTCTGCTCAATGATGAAAGATCTTTCACGTTATGACGTTTCAGGTTACGGCTTTGGAAATGTTGGCCCTGGACTCACGGCAGGAGTAGGAGGCCCTGCCTCGAGGCCCGGATACCCTGCTGGAACTGGTGTGTGTATTTACCAGTTAATTATTGATATGGAATAGTGAGGGAGGAAATATTACAAAGTCTGTTTCGTACATCCTCTCTGTAGGAGTGGGACCTGGGGGCATCTCACCTGCTCAGGCTAAAGCCGCCAAATATGGTAGCTCACGACATTCATTATAAAGTCAATGTTTCTGTATCATGAAATAAATAACAGTTGGGTGGTCCGTGAACGTCTGTGCTCTCTCTTCCAGGTTCGGCAGGTGGTCAAGGCGTTGCTGGAGCTGGTGGACTGTATCCAGGGCAGGTGCCAGGAGGTATGATGTCCAACAAACGACATTTGAAAACTAAAGCAAAAGCATCTAGCAATATTAGCCCCCATAAAACGCATAAATCCTCCATAGCAACAAACCATAGGAAGTAATCCTGAACTTTGGAACTTGCCAACATCAGTATTGCTTAATATATACATTATTTTGTACAGGTGTGGGGTCTGGGGCCATCTCACCTGCTCAGGCTAAAGCTGCCAAATATGGTAGACTACCACACACATTACCAGGACAAGTAGCGATGCATCGGTAGCGATCATATTAGTAAAGCATTAATGTCCATGCCCTCTTCTGCAGGTTTTGGGGCCGTCGGAGGTGTCGGTGGTGGTTTTGGAGGTGGTGTCGGTGGTGGTGTTGGAGGTGGTGTCGGCGGTGTTGGTGGTGGTGTTAGAGGGGTGTCTCCGGGGCAGGTGCCAGGAGGTATAAAAAAAAAAAAAACACAAACTAAAAGTCTTTAGCCACGTTGACGGTGTCATGATGGAAACGTTTTTTTTTTTTTTACATACCATAGTATAAAACATTATCATGCATATTTTCCAGCGGGATATGGAGTTGGTTCCAAAGCTGCTAAATATGGTGAGAACTTTAATTTTTTTTGCTGAACCTTATTCAAAATCCTTTTTTTTCATTTCTATATTTTTAATTAACTCCTCCTGTTGTGGAAAGGTACATTCAATTACGTTAAGTTTAATAGAAGTTCTCTCACTGACCTGGAGGACTACCAGGAGGAGTACCAGGAGGAGTACCAGGGGGGGTACCATGGGGAGTACCAGGAGGAGTACCATGGGGAGTACCAGGAGGAGTACCAGGGGGGGTACCAGGAGGAGTACCAGGAGGGGTCCCTGGGGGGGTACCAGGAGGAGTACCATGGAGAGTACCAGGAGGAGTACCAGGAGGAGTACCAGGAGGTGCACCAGTGGTTGGTGGATATTCACCAGCAGCCAAAGCCGCTAAATATGGTATGGTGTATCAATGGCTTGATCATATGCCCTCTTTTGACTTGACATAATGCTCTGTAGCCTTCTTAACTACTTTACTATTAACTATTAGCTTTAAGTATGATTTGTCTTGGTGTGTGGATTGTATTTAGCTGTGCAGCTTGCTTTACATAAAAAGGCTCATTAGATAATCTTTGTTTTCCATAGGAAGTTGCCACAGGAGGACTAGGAGGCGCAGGCGGATTTGGAGGAACAGGAGGGATTTGGAGGAACAGGAGGATTTGGAGCAACAGGAGGACTGGGAGGAACGGGAGGATACTCAGCTGCTGCCAAAGCTGCTAAATATGGTCATTTTAAAATTACTACAGTCTAATCTCAGGTTTAAGCACAGATTCCTTCCAGAAATGAGTCATATAACACCAAGGCCAGGTGGTCAGACAAGGCGCTCATATTGAACACAAAAGGGTTCAGATCACAAACAAAGGTCTGACTGTCATTTATTTATATATATAGGTCTATGTTTTGGGGGGCGGGGTCAATCTTTGAAGTGCAGTTTCAAATGCAGAGCCTGAGAGAGACGGATCCGGCCCGCCGGGGGGTCCAGTGCGAAGTGTGAAAATGACAGAAAGACATAAATTGCATTTCTATAAAAGTAGCTGCTACTCCTAAAGCGTCCACTGGGGGGCTCACTCTGCAAGTGAGCGCATGCGTTAGACCAGGATCGCCGACCTTGTTCCTCCGGGCAGCAGAAGCTAAATTGGGTTTGACACCCCTGTTCTAAATACAACAAACTGGTTTGTCTTCAAACTCAGTCCAAATTGACTATATTAAGAAATGCCACAATATGTCTCACAGGGGCATTAGGAGGAGCAGGAGGCCTGGGAGGTGGAGGACAACTGGGAGGAGCAGGAGGACAACTGGGAGGAGCAGGAGGCCTGGGAGGTGGAGGACAACTGGGAGGAGCAGGAGGCCTGGGAGGTGGAGGACAACTGGGAGGAGCAGGAGGCCTGGGAGGTGGAGGACAACTGGGAGGAGCAGGAGGCCTGGGAGGTGGAGGTCAACTGGGAGGAGCAGGAGGCCTGGGAGGTGGAGGACAACTGGGAGGAGCAGGAGGCCTGGGAGGTGGAGGATATTCCGCTGCTGCAAAGGCTGCTAAATATGGTAACTGAAATAATCACTGTAAAAAAAAAAGTATTAGAGACCAAAACTACTGATCCAAGAAGTAATTTACGCGAGTTTGCATGATTTCACGGTTATTTTACAGGCCCGGGGGGTGCAGGTGTAGTTCCCGGTGGTGGTGCAAGTGGAGGGCAATTTCCTGGAAGAGTCCCCTTTTTACCAGGATATGGATGTGAGCCCCACAGCCCTTTCATCTACACCAGTATCCATTTTGATTTGACAAAATTCTAAGATCATGTTTTAACCCCAGCTTTTTTTGTTTCGCAGCTTTAGCGGCTGGTGCTAAACCTCCTAAATATGGTGAGATTGTGGTACTTAGAATTTCACACATGATTACCATGACATGATGTGTGACAAGACTTATTTCTCCTACTCAATAAAATCCAATGTTACAATCACCTGTTTTGGAAACCGCCTTAAATGCTTAATACTGGATTTAATTTGGTTTTGATTATACAGCTGTTATTTGGAACCTTTTCTTCGTGAAAGTGTATTGGAGATTCGTTCTTTACTTATTCCCAAACAGGAGTCCCAGGAGCAGGCCTAGGAGGAGGCGGAGTTCCGGGGGGAGCAGGGCTGGTGCTTCCTGGCGGCTACGGCAGCTTCGGAGGTAAGTGGTCAAATTGTCGTATTGGAGTTACCAAAAAGGATCTGGACATTGAGATTTTCTACTGCTTTGCTTTTGGGAAATGTTGTCAAATGAATTGTCAGTCACAAACATAATGTTGCCTCCCGGCAGGTTATGGGGCTGGAGCTAAACCGCCAAAGTATGGTAAGATGTTTCCTGTTATTGTATTTGAATACTCGTCTGAGTCATCTCAAGTCAAAGATTACAGTTGGAGACATGCCTCTTGCAATGAACTAATTGAGATGGGAAGGTTTATATTTTCAAACTAAATGTTTCAGGAGTACCTGGAGCAGGTTTAGGAGCAGGAGGAGCAGGAGTGGGTCCTGGCTTTGTACCAGGACAAGGAGGTGGACAATACTCTGCTGCCGCAAAAGCTGCTAAATACGGTATAATAAAATAGCTCACATGCAGACACATTCAATAGTGTATGAAGTAAGTAAGCTTATCATGAAACCTCATCCTTTTCGATCAATATGGAATTTCCGGAGGAGTTGGAGCAGGTTTAGGAGGAGCAGGAGGAGCAGGAGGCGCCGGAGTGGGTCCTGGCTTTGTACCAGGACAAGGAGGTGGACAATACTCTGCTGCCGCAAAAGCTGCTAAATACGGTATAATAAATAGGCTCACATGCAGACACATTCAATAGTGTATGAAGTAAGTAAGCTTATCATGAAACCTCATCCTTTTCGATCAATAAGGAATTTCCGGAGGAGTTGGAGCAGGTTTAGGAGGAGCAGGAGGAGCAGGAGTAGTTCCTGGCTTTGTACCAGGACAAGGAGGTGGACAATACTCTGCTGCTGCAAAAGCTGCTAAATACGGTAAAAAGAGCACAAAAAATACAGTTAGAGACATGTTTTCTGAAATGAGCTAATATAGATAGTACGGTTTGAATTTTCAAACCAAATGTTGGGGTTTCAGGAGTACCTGGAGCAGGTTTAGGAACAGGAGTAGTTCCTGGTTTTGTACCAGGACAAGGAGGTGGACAATACTCTGCTGGAGCAAAAGCTGCTAAATACGGTATAATAAATAAGCACACAAACATCACACAGTCAGAAATACTCTGCCATATCATACTTCGATTTTATTCATTGGTGCATAATCAACACATTATAACAGGTATGACAAAATATTTGTCTGTTTTACAATAATTGAACATGCTTTATTTTTCTCGACTAGGTGTGACAGGAGGAGCTGGAGCAGCGGTGGAAACAGGAGGACTCGGAGGTACAGGAGGAGTTGCACCTGGAGGAGGTACTGAATATTCAAAATGTTTATGGAAATTCAGTAGAAGTACGATGTTTTGTCATCATAAAAAGTGATAGTATGTTCTGAAAAGATGTACCAGACTATGCTCTATCGACCCACATTGGACCAATTTGCCTTGAGGAACCATATTGTGAATTATTGCCAAGGCGACGTCAGCGATTGATAAATGACAGACAGACAGATCACACGGCCAGAGTTCCCATTCGGTGGTCACATTCACCCGTGGCACACAAATAAATGAATTTTAGAGGAAGCGAAAGCAGAGAATTTGAATCTTCCTCTGATCGCTCCCCTCCATTCACCGAGGCGAGGTACATTTCCCAACAGCGTCAATGGAGTCAGACACATTAGAACCATTACTGATGAAATTCTACCTGGAAGCAAATGTTCCGTGGCCTCGGTCAGCTGACCTCCTGCGTGACCCTCAGGGGGAGTCACCGGAGTGGGACTCGCGGTGCCAGGAGCTACTCCAAGTACGGGCGTCAGTGGTGGTCCAGACGGTTCCGCTGTCTTGGGGACAGGTAAAGCTGTCGGTTTCTTATTTCCTTAGGTGAACATTTTTTTTCATACCTTGTACGTTTTTAACTTTTTTGCTTTTATAGCGGTGTACGCAGGCCCCGCTGGAACTCCCCAACCAGGTACAGCTAATGCCAATACTTTTCATTTTCCTTTTCTGTGATATTTTAGACGCAGCTCCATAAGGAATACGGGAGGGAAAGCGCCAATTCCCACTTGTATTTGGCAATTTCCCTATACCATCGTCTTACTGCACCAGTACTGTACCATCAGTTATCCCCTCTACATGTTCTCCCCCATTTCCTGCACACAAAACTCACATGTTGTTTTTACTGCTAGTGCTACCAGCTATTGACCGCCTCTAGCTAACAGCCGCCCACCAGTGGCTGTATCGCTCACTGCATTTCCGGACAATGGCTTATCTAATGTCTAATATAATAATTTTCATCTTTTTCATCTTTTTGACAGTTTCTGGTGGAATTATTTAGTTTAGTGGTAGTTTTTACATTCAAAATGTTTTTATTTATCATGTGCTAAATACGCAATTAACTAACTTTTTGTTATTTCACAGCTGGCGCAAGTGTTGGTAAGTATGTTTAAAAATATATTGTATTGGGATTTACATCAAACGAACTCAACAATTACTATTTTTGAACATCTTGTATTCAATAGATAAATGAACAACTGTTTATTTATTTGTTGCAGGCGGAGCAGGAGTTGCAGCTCCCTCTGGTGGTAAGAGACATTTTTTCCCACGTGAAAGATATTCCTTTATTAGTCCCACAGTGGGAAAATGTACAATATAGTTCAATATTCTGTAGTATTTGTACCAAATGTAGATAATTTTTCTCAAGGATATTGCTCTATTTTCTTCAGTTACCCACATATTTTATGCAGGATGTTAACTGTGTTGTGTTTTAGGTGGTTCTTCAGGCCAAGGTCAGCATGGTAGGTGCAAAACAACGAGATTTGTATCTAGGACTTACTTTGGAACAAATATGCGTCAAATTGTCAACTAATCTCATTTTTTACCTGGTCATGTGATTTTCATAGTTCAAAGAAAGCCTGAATAAATACATTTAAAGAACGTGTTAAAGGTAATTTATATGTATGGTAGTAATAGTAGCATCATAATACAAAAGATCTATATCATACATAATAATAATAGTGATTTAATCATCGTTACATTTAAGTCTTGGAAGTTTACTGTTGAAACGTGAACCACTTACGCGTATTAATGCTATATTTGAAATACTTGAACTTGTCTTGGGTATGTTTCTGTCTTTTTTGTTTTCATTTATATTAATTAGCCAAATGTTGTTCTCTCCTCTTTAGTTGCAACTGGAGGCCACCAACCTGGAGGTAGGCCAACATTTATACCTTTATTCTCTGAAGAACTTCATGTCCGATTTAGCCCTCAAGCCATGTTTGTCTTTGAAAACGACAATTTTCAAATGTTGTTTACATGATGCACCGATGCTTGAGTCACAATGACCACAATGTGTAGCTTATGTACCAAAGCCCTGAACCAAATAATAAACTCAGCTTGCAGTTCTACAACACACTTTCTTTTTTTAAACTACACAAACTCCTTTAACATTTGGAAAATTCTTCCTGAATACAATTTGCCATTTAAAAAGCCAAACTTAACTGAATAACCTCAATGTGAGACAGTACATCCATCTGGCCTCCCGGCGGAGACAAAGACAGTGAACAGAGATGGTTTGTGATAACAAAACATTAACAATTCTGTTTTCAGGCGTTGGTGTTGTTTCAAGTGGCAAAGCACCGAAACCAATCTTCCCAGGTAACGATGACTAACAAACAAATCATCAGCATTGATCTGGGGCCTGTTTCAATAAGGAGGTTCAACCAACTCTGAGTTAAAACTTGAACTCTGAGTTGACTTACCCTGAGATGGGAAACTCTGAGTTTTCGGTTACAGAACAGCTGAAATGAGTTAGTTCAATCAACTCTGAGTTGACCTACTCTGAGTTAAGCGCGTGCACCACAACTATAAAAAGCCATTATCAATGGAGCGCAGATATTACGAGTCACCATGGCAACAGCGTCAGACAAAAAGAGGTCTTCATATTTTTCACCAGCAGAACTGGATGTGCTTATGCAAGCATATGGAGAGTACGAACATATATTTAAAAAAAAAAGCAACACGGCTGCAGCGGCGAAGGACAGAGAGTTAGCTTGGGAGAAAATAGCTGCTCGAGTCAATGCGTAAGTTTACATTTGAATTACTGTTATACAGTGTTGTGTGTAATTAATTTCTATGTAATCTAAAAACTGTAATTTAATTCCGTAATTTAAAG